TTATTGGCTATCCAAATTTCCGTGTATATAGTACATCTTTTAATAGATATCCACAAGATTACTTAATTTGGACCATATGAAGTTCTTAATGATATCCAGGTGATAGCATTGTTTGAACCTTTTTGATGTCTATAATGATCACCCACAGGATATCTTTAATTGCACCATTTTATACATTTCATGGATATACATTGGATGGCTTTATTTATATCTTTTTGACATATCTATATATATAAAAATGAATGTATGTCAGTGTGTGTGTGTGTCCATATTACCATGGTTACTAGGGTTACCATGAGTGTTGTAGCTATTATAATCATAATCCATTTTAAGTTAGGTAAGGATAATAATTAATAATTAATATCGAGATTAATATAATCAATATAATTCATATAGAGTTGGTATTTTTATTGGGCAACAAAGTACATGGGATCAGCTAGTTATAGGTCTTTAATGGGCAACGAAGTGCATGGGATCAGATATTTTATATATATAGTCCGTGTGTGTCCACATTACCATGGCAACCTTTTATATTTTATTTTGTAACTTCCGATGGAAAGTTTTGTATATAAATGGTTGCCATTTTGATATGTAAAACATATTATTCATGTAGAGTTGTAATTTTTAATGTGAATTGGTGATCATTGAGATGTTGTGCTTAAATAGGGATTTTGAGGTTTTATATGGACTTTTTTGTTTATAAATAGTTGCCGTGGGTTTCAAAGCTATAATAATAATAATTATCGGTTGCCATTGGTTTAAATTGGTTGTAAATTTATTATAGTGCCTAATGATTCATTTTTTCAAAAAAAACTGAATTCAATTGCAACTGTAATATAAGTTAATTTAGTATGCCTAACAATAAACGAGCAATAAATAGTCCTTTGGTAAAACGAAAAATATTGTATATCCAAAAGCACTTCTGTAGATGGCAAGTGTAAAACTGTGCACGAATATTGGGTAATATTTTATAAACATCAGTATACCTTATATATTTTCTAGGAAGTATACTTATAGAGTAGGAAGTATCCTATATATATATATGGATTTCAAAGCTTTTTTCCTGGGTGTGGGTATTGTATCGATTTATAATTTAAATACCTAGTCATATTTTGACTGCCTATATATAAGATATTGTATAATATAATACTTATAACTGAAAAACAAAAAATATTGACTTAAGTAGGTACACTTCCATACTTATTTATTAAAATTATAAAAAAAACTATTAATAATAGGAATTTAACAATTAATCTGAACATGATTCATCACCATGTTCAGGGCTGCATTCAGTCATCATTACTTCTAAATCTTTATCATTATGTCTCGTCAGTTCATTTCTATATCGTTCAGAAGCCCGGCGTATCCAGTTATGTATCTCTTTGATCACCTTATGATTAGTTGCTTTTTCAGAACTGTTTCTTATCACATCTTTTAAAAATTAAAAAAAAAAAATTTTAAATACATAAATTAATAAGGACTCTGTATAGAACTTACCAATAACTATATTATGAAGTTGAAGTGTTTTGAAACCTCGTTTATTCTTTTTTATCCCAGCATATGTCATGCAAGAAGCAAGTTTATTAGTTATCAAAAATTTTAATGCATTAAAGGTTTTTTGTTTTACAGATTCACCTCCAATTTTTGATAACTCATACATCTGAAAACAATAAAAATTTAAAAAAATATTGAAGTGTAAAATAGAGAAATACAATTATAGTTATTACCAGCTGTTTTTTAAAGTCGTCGTCATTTACTAATTTAACTTCAATAGATAAAAGTGCATCTTCAGTATCAATAGGAAAGTAAACATGCATGTTTAAATCAGTATTTTTGTTTGAGTTTACAGATGTATTCTTGAGTTCTTTTATATTATCATTCATATTTTTTTAATACAAGTAACATTTGGTTAATTTTGAACTGCATTTTACAAACACTTTCAATTAAATGAGTTTGATTTGTTACATCCATCAATGGACCTTACATAACAATAATAATAAAAATATATAAATATGTATGATACATTTTGGTATTATTACAAATCTTATGCCTAGTAGCATGAACAATTTATTGATTTAATAGTTCAATAAAATTTAATGAACCAATCACAGACTACTAATTAATGTCAAAGGGACCATTGGATCACTATTGATTCGTTAAATATTAAATGACTGTTCATGCAACTCGGCATTAAAGTTATAAAAAGGCAAAAAAGAAAAATTACCATTTATATTTATCAATAAAGATTTCATTTCATCAGTTGAGAGCATGGGAGAACTATTGTTGTTATTTTGTCCAGATATTATAATAACCTCAGTGTTTTCTAGAAAAGCGGTATCATATATTTAAATTATTGCAAATACACCAATAAATGTATATGATAAAAATATTCAATAGAACAAAAATAAATAGATTAATTATTTTATCTTAATTGTAAAATATTATAAAACTAACGGTTTCTTACCAGAAATGTTAATTTTTTCATTTTGTTGTGTACTGGCATTTATAGGAATAAAGTGGTCTTCGAGGTGGTCTTGAATAGGGACTTCTGCTGGTTTACTGTTATTAGCCAATAAATCATTAGTAATTAATGATTCTATATTTAAAAATATAAACAAAAATTAATTAACAATAAAAAGTATATAAATAATTTATAATTATAATTCCACTAACCAAACTGAGGATCATAATTATTGAACATATCAGGTGATGAACTTTGACTGTTTAATTTGTCTTCATGACTTTCATAGTTGTCTGGAAATAAAATTATATCAATGCTGTTATCCATATGAGAAAAATGAAAATGCAAGTTAAAAACAAATAATACCTTTATATAACTGAGGAGGCTTTGGCAATTGTAGACTATACCCACCAAAATGACTCACTAAATAAAGAAATAATAAATAATAAAAAACATTAATAAAATTTATTATAAAATTGTAAAATAAGGCTTATAGAAAAATACCTTTATCATTAACAGGAGGATTTGGTACTGATAAGATTTGCTTAGTCTTATTTTGTTTGAAACCCTCAGGGAAACCTATATGTTGTAAAACATTACACACAACGTTATAAGCACATATTTTAATTTAAATAAGATTAATAATTTTTAAATGCACTGAACAAATGTACCTTTACTAATCATTGAAGTTTCTGTTATTTTTTTTTTTTTTTGGCTGAAAATAAATAGAAAAAGTAAATTTAACTAAAAAATATATCTAAAAACAGTTTTAATAACTCATAAATATAAATTAAAAAATACATTATATTTTATTTGAAATTGTTTGACCAATAAAATAACATAATTTATATGCAATTTTAAAGCTAGTTATGAATTATACAGGATGTATTACCTGGCACATTTTTCTGAAGATTGCAGAACTCATCTGAATCTGATTCCAAAACTTTAGCAGCAGTATATTTTCTTTTTATTTTTGATACATCAATATCAGTGCTATCCAAATCTGTTTGGTTTTCAGCTTTCTTTAATTTTTTCTTTGCGGCTAGGAAATCATCTATATAAACAAACAATTGATAAAGTATATATTTCTCAGTAAATGAGGGTTTGAATATAAAATATTGAAATACGAACCACAAGACGCAAGAATTCTTTTTAAATTAAAAGTATTCCAATTATCCTTAGGTTCAACCATTTTTGTACAAAACTTTTCATATCTTATATTGTTAGTGGTGAGTGGAGGAAATTTTGTAGCACTGCCATTGCTTATCAACCAATTCCTTGGAATAATTTGAATCCCCTCATCATCAAACTCCACAACAACATATTTGTTGTAACTATATTTCATCATTCCACTATAAATTTGATTTTAAGTTATAGAATGTACATAAATTAAAACTAAGGGAATAATTATCTATATAATATCTATAACTATATATAAAATAGAATAACATATTTTTCTACTGTAAATTATATAATCATTATAAGCATATTTAAAAACACAATTATATTTAACTGTATACATTCAGTTACAAATATTAAATATATTAACTATGAATAGTACAAATTTATAAAACTTAATATATAAAACTATTTTCAAATGGTGTATATGTATGTACAAAAAATATGTATTAAAATGAAACTTATATTAAAGGCCTCTCATCTTGTTCAGTATGAAGCATTGGAAAAGCAAAATACTTTTTTTGATACATATATAGAAAATACTTTGCTTTGATCTCATGGATTGACCAGCATTTTACTTCAGACAATGTGGATACCTCATAAATACATAATAAACTAGACTCACACGGAGACTCATATACGTTAACTTTATTTAAAAATTCTTTTCCCACAATCACATATCCCTGAAGCATGTTGTGGTAAGCTATATTTAAAATCAAAACAATACTGTTATTAAATAAACAGCAGCACTTATTTCCTTTTCCCAACACACTAAAAGTAAGTTTATGATATATGATTGATCTATATTGTATGTCTGTGCAACCATCTACGATTGGCCCTAGATTATGTCTTGTTTTTAGAACTACCCGGGTAACAATCTTGGTGTACTTATGGTTCAAACATAATATTATTACGTTCACTGCACTGTTCAAATCCTGGTCTCTACACCGACCTATGAGAAGTTTGAATACGGGATTTTAACATTAGTTGAACTGTGTTCAATGTATGTGCGAAGGTCTGGTTATAAACCGTCTATTGGTCTATATTATACGGTGCATTAATGGTGCAACCGTCTATATTAGACAGTGCACAGTTGGTCTGACCGTCTATATTAGACAGTGCACAGTTGGTCCGACCGTCTATATTAGACAGTGCATAATTGGTCCGATCGTCTTTAATTAACGGCTCCTGTTTGGTGCACAAAGTTAAAAATTAACCGCGCATATTCGGTGTACCTGTCTACATCTATACCATTTATATGGTATATAATATATACCATATAAATATTATATTATATTATATATTATACTGCATTCAAATACCTATTATATAGGTTCATAAAAAGAGATAGGTATGTAGGTAGCTTATTATATGATGTAATTCAGCATCACTAATGTGTCTGTTATACAGATGCATTTTTATCCATTTTAAATAAAATAGGTTACCTACATGCACCTATATATTTATAATAAAATACTCACTGCAGATGGTCTTAAACTGTAAAACAAACCTTTAAGGCACAATATATATATATATATATATACATACATGGGCGTTTTCGTAGAGTGGGGATATGAGAGATAGATCCCCTCCTATGGCCTTTTTTTAGTGCCAAATAACAGGTATTAACGTATTGTTTATTTATTTATTTGCAATTAATTTGTAAACCCCTCTCCCAAAATATTATACCAATGCAAAAAATCCATCTGGCAGCGCTACTGCATATTATATTATATTT